ATTCTTAAATTCTCATGTCATTACACTTCAAAAGGTCTACTAAAAACCAAAATTAAGAAAAACGATAAATACATTTATCACTCAACTATATTCATATAAGCAACGAAATCGAAAATTAACAAACAAGTTAGAGACAAAATTACAAAATGAAGAATATTTTCAGGTGGAGTAAATGAGGGGGGAATCGGGGAGTTGAGAAGTGGAGAGAGCGAAGAAAAGGAGAATCCCCAAAATAAGAACAGGCACAAGAAGGACCGGCAATGGCGGCGGAGGAAGCGGCGGCAGCACCAGCGGCAGCACCACCAGCGACGCCGTGCACAGCACCAGAACCACGCCGGAGAACACGCTATAAAGCTTGACCATCAAAACAACTACCCACGACCGCAACCGCAACCGCCCAGAAGGACATGATCTAGCTCCTCCTCTTCCATACGCGCCGCCGCATCGGCGGAGAGCTCCGGCGAGGGGAAAAAAGACCAGAATTCAAAAATGAAATAGAAATTAAAATGAAGAGGTGGAGAAAAAGGGTTTGGATGGGGATTTATATATAAGGGAATGTCGCCGTCATACCCCACAAGGCTCCTGCAGTGTCTTCATTCAGCCAACTTATTTAAATAAATAATAAATAATTACTACTTGGACCACCTTTTTTTTTTTCCCTCCAAAGGTACTAACCACTAATTGGAAATTTTATCTTTACTTCTAAAGTTCTTCCTAATCATTCATTCAATGTATAGTCCCAAATATTTATCCTTTCATAAATTCTTCAGCTTTAATATTTATTGTCTGGATATTACAAAGTTGCAAAAAAAATATATATATATATTAATGCTTTAATATAAATAAATGTGATAGTGTCACTTAGGCTACAGACTTATTAAATTTAAAGTTCAAAATTCAGGAATATATTATAAAACTTTTTATTTTCTAATGAATATGAACAAGAAGGATACTTCTTCAAAGTTGAGGGATATGTATTAGAAAATTTTAAAAGTATAAGTACTCGAGAAACATAGAAGATTGAAAGTTCAAGAACCAAATTTATAATTTAACATTATCTTATGTGGTTGGATGGAAACAATACGATCTACCATGTGAAAGAAGAATAGATCATATTTTGAGTGATCAGAAGATAATACCTTGAATAAATGGTGGCTAAACTATAAGTTCATTTAAGGGTAAGGAAATAATTCGACTGGTCACTGTTGACCTTAAGTCCCTTTAAAGGTTCGAGTTGAGGATCTCACATAAACGTCTGTAACCAACATCTGGCGGTTCCGTTGGAGGTACTACAACAGTGATAACACAATGGAGAAGGTGGGATCCAAGTAGATTCCGCCTATAAATACATAGATCTGTATCGTCTCATACGAACTTAATTGTCGGAGCCTTTTTTCTTATCTATGCAAGTTCTATGCTAGCTCAACAAGTTCATGCGTGCTTTTTGAGGGTTACTAGAATTTGACATAAGCATGTCTGTTTGGCATATTGTGTAAAATAAAATAAAATAATTGAAAAAACTAAGGGGCGTTTGAAGGAAGGAGTGAAGTTTTATTTAACCAATATGGAGAGTCTTGAATTGTTTAGTATGTATTTGTAATAAGCAAAGTTGTTTAGTCGGAATTCTAAAATCTGCTTTTGGAGTGAAGAGTTGTTTACTTTGAGTTTTGAAGTTGAGATTATGCCTAACTGATTTTTTCTTACAAATTTACTATACGAGTGTATACTTAAACCTAGATTCTGATTATTATTTCAAATTATAATTAATATAGAGATTTGTTTCTATTTGAGATTTTAAGTTATTTTATTTTACGAATACCCTGTAATTTTGTTTAACTATAATAAATGGAATATGTATTTATACATATATAGCATTAGATTTAAAATTTTACAAAAATGATATAAATTTCATTCTTTGTTTTAGATAATATGTATTTTAAAATTTTACAAAAACTCATTTCTGTGAATTGTTTGGAAAAAAATAATGATATTTTTTCAAACATATATTTATTTCATGTCATTTAGTGCAATTTCTTTTATCTCTAGGCTATTTTAAATTTACTATGTTAAAAATAAAATATTTTTTTATTTATATCATTTTAATAAGTTCAAAAGAAATATATTCATAAGCATATATTTTTTATTTGATTGTGCCTAATTTAAAAATGAATCACTTTATTTAATATAGTTAATTTAAATTAAATATGATTTGTTTCACTAATTTTTTTTAAGTTCAAAATAGAATACCATTAAATTCAAAATAGAATACCAATTTATATTTTTGTTACGTAATATGAATATGACTAATTTTAAAATTAAATATATTATTTTATTTTAATCTTTGTTAGCTTGAAATTAAATATAAATAAATAAATATATGTATATATAAACTATTCTTCCTATTCTACAATCACACATTGAAAATTATATATATCTTTTTATAGCTACCTTTTTGAAAATTATATAATATCTTTTTATAGCTACCTGTTTAAATGGATAAAAGAGAACAATAATTAAAAAAAAACTTTTCACCAACAAAATTAAGATTAAATTTAAGCCTTCAATTAATTATATTAAATCAAATATTGAAATTTTTAATTTCTAAATTTATTTTATATCACAACATAACTATGTACATAAAAATAAATTATAATTCATATAAATATATTTTTCAATAAAAAATTACAAAACTTCATAATTATGGATATATAAAAAAGAAAAACATCTTCATATTATAACTTAGAAACTCAAATATTTATAATCGGAAGTTAGGAGGAGAGGAGAGATGAAGAGTAATAAGGTGGTTGAGTTGAATAGGAAGAAAATAACTTGGGTCCTAAACATGATACTCGCGTGGTCAATAACATATAAACTTTAACGAGATGTAAATCCCAGAGCGGAAGAAGTATAATGCATTCTTGAATTTCTTTTGAAATTCAAAACACGTAAAAATATAGAAAATGGAAAGAATGTTGAATTTTACCTTTGAAGACTCACTAGTAGAAATTCGGTTTATCGTGACGTTTTTTTAACGTCACAAAAATCTTTTGTGACGTTTTTTGCACCGTTACGTATACGCCCATCACGAAAGGTATATGTGACATTTAAAAAACGTCACAAAAATTAGCACACGTGATGGTTAAAGACCGTCATGAAAAATATAGTCTTCCACGACGTTTGTTAAATGTCACGAAAATGATTTCGTGACGTTTTAAGAATGTCACGATTAAGACTTTTCGTGACGTTTAAAAAAGTCACCATAAATGAGCAACCGTGATGACATTTGATTTCGTGATGGTTATACAACGTCACGAGAAGACCTTGAATAGTGAAGAAAGGTCACATGACATCTTTTCGTGACATTTTTTAAACGTCACAATAAATTATTTCGTGATGTTCAAACGCCATCACAAAAAACCGTTTTCGTGACGTTTTAAAATCCGTCATAAAACTTGATGTTGCTAAAAGACGACCCTGAAGAACTATTTCGTTGCTAAAAAGATCGAGAAAAGCAACCTATTTCGTTGTTCATCAACATGGCAAATACAATTTTATATGACAAAGTTGAACATTCATATATGAACAAAGTGTGATACAATATTCTTTACACATTCAGCGTACAAATTACTACCAAGTACAAATACATAATGGAACATATGTCTCACACACTAACCCAACAAAGAAGCCTATTCATCAATTTGTTGCGTTTCTAATTCTTGACTTCTTTGAATTCGTGAAAGACCTAATGAAGAAAACAATACCTATGTTAAGATAAATTTATGTAAAATTTTTCAATATTTCTATGTTCACCAAAACCATTGATGGATTATTTTCTATATGAAAAAGAAGAATAAAAACAAGTTATTGATGAATTATTTTCTATATGAAAAAAAGAATAAAAAGGAAACTAGGTCAGAAGGAAAAATAGTGCAAAAACTTTTGATGCTAGCTAGAGACAACTATTTGGTGTTTACGTGGAACCAAGCTAAACATTGAAGTTGCAACCCCAATGTCATGGTGATAGCTCCGTCCTTTGCCTACTTTGTCCATCACCTTATAAGGTTAAAAATTCAAGGGCGATCATGTGGTGTTTCTTCAATTTTTAAAGCAAGCTCTGTAAAAGTAAAAATAATAAGAAATAAACAGAGAAGATAGATTCAAAACGATACTAACATAATTTAATACAACATTGGTAGAAAATATTGCCAACATTATAAAATAAAAATAGACTACATAACAAGCTCACTACCTACTTATAGAATGTGCTCAACTCTCAAGAAACTAACTTGAATTCACGGAATCGTAAACAGTTCTCATATAGATGCTCTAAATGTGCTCCAAATGTTGCTTCAGTTTTTTTTTCTTCTTTTGAGAAGAATCCAAACTATCATCGAGAAACATGAAAGAATATAAAAAAGGAATACAAAAACCAAGCTCAACAAAATGGTAACGACCTACAAGAAAAGATCCCAATCCAAAAGAATAACACTCAACTCGTAGTTACAAAAGAATAACACCTAAGATCTTTTTCTTTCCCTCGAATCATTCACACAAAACCTTTCTTTCACAAAAACAAAGAAGCAAAAAGACAATACCAAACGGGTTTTTAGATTCTCCAAATACTAAAGACTTTACCCAAATAAATCTGATTTATGAACAACACAGATGTTGAACAATAACAAGCAAAAACAATCTACTTATCCAAATCTTAATTGGCTACCTTTGCTGCAGGATAGCCACAAAATTCTCCAACTAGACTTTACACTATATGCATGACACATATAAAAACTGAGTCTTAATTGGCTATCTTTGCTGCAGGATAGCCACACAATTATCCAACTAGATTTTAAATTATATGTATGACACGAATATAAACACTAAGTCTTAATTGACTATCTTTACTGCAGGATAGCCACACAATTATCCAACTAGACTTTAAACTATATGCATCACACAAATATAAATACTACATAAAACCAATCCCAACAATCACGAAGATCTAAAGCACCAAAAACCCCAAATGCCAATTTCTGAAATCAACAAAAGTAGATTCAAACATTGAAACAGAAAACAAAGAAAAGAGGGACAGCGTAACAAGAAGCTAAAGTTTGTCCCTGGTCCTACAGTAGTAACCGAATTCTCAAAAGTAGATCCCAAACAGAAGTCACTCAAGCATATGATGGCAATATCCTAAGTAGTTGCCACATTCTTCGAGGTCTCTTACAAGAATCTGAAAGGCAAAATCAAAGCATGATCAAGAAAACCTAGAGGGGAACAGACTTACATCATTAACTATAACATACATGTGGCAGTTATAAAAAAGACATCGAAAAAATGCATTACAAATTAGAACTGAATAGAACCACTCCAATTACATGCCCAACTAAGAGCCGACAAGTGTATTTAATAAAAGAGCCGACAATGTTGATTAGAAAGACAAAGTAGTCACTTATCTCAAAGACTCAAATTGAAAATTCAAACCGTTTCATCCAAGAAAGCTTTAATTTTTTTATTCAGTAACCTCATCCTCATCTTCAAAAAGTGATCACCTACAAGGAAACGAGAAATTTTAGTCCTCATCAAAACTCAAGAACAGTTTTAATTACTAAAAAACCTAAAAGCTTAAAGCTACGTAGCCTAAATCTAGAGACTTAAATACAAAATGCTATTGTTTACCTCTTCAAGACAAAAAGTTCATGACTAACCATATAAGTGATTGATCTACAACAAATCTTTCAAAATAATGCAATTTAGAAAAACTACAACAATAACTAATTAAACATTCTCAACAAATTATAAGATAAGATCTATATTAGATTTTGTTTTGCACTAAAATCTTAATAAATAGACTAAATTATTGCAACACAGACAACACGAAGATATAATAATTGAACTCAAATTTCGAGAATTGAACAGTACGTTGTTTACCACTTCAATTACTAAAAATCCTAAAAGTAAGCTACACAACCTAAATCTAGAGACTTAAATACAAAATCTAATCTAATAGCATCACAATGTGAGCAGAATCTAACAGTAGCAATTGAGATTATATTGCACAACCTTGAAAGACCAAGAAAATAATGAGATCTGACTCATTTATGAAAATATAAACACTAAGTCTTAATTGGCTATCTTTGCTACAAGATAACCACACAATTATCCAACCAGACTTTAAACTATATGCATGACACGAATATAAACACTACATAAAACCAATCACAAAGATCCAACGCACCAACAACCCCAGACACCAACCCCAGCGCAGATATTAAATTTACAATCAGTCAAGTTCGAAAATTAATAAGATTCAAAGCAATGGCAATCACCCTATCAACTCTTTTGCTTAGTTTTCGTTGGCAAAGCAAAGGTCTATATCCCCAGACTCCAGTAGTTGGAGAAGATCTAAAATCTCGAACCATCTGGCCAAATATAGAGATATGAGCTACTTTATTTACCTCTAAACACATCTTTTAAAATGATACAAAAGTCTCTTCTTCAAAATAAAAAGCACATAGAGGTTTGCCAAGGAATATACCACAAAAGCTTTCTCTTGTTTGACCAACTTTACAGCCACTTGAATAACTTCCAAGTTAAAAATACTATATCTCATTACAAGCCACTGCGATAAAGACATGTCGACAACTAAGTTATCAGTCAACCAAAAGCACCTCCTAAGTAAAACAAAAAGGCCCCAAAACAAAAACAGTGACAAAACCGACCTAAAAGGAAGGGCTCCACCTTAAAAATGCGATAATTGATTCATTCAACAGAATTATATCAATTGAAAATGTGTCAATTATTCTAGGAATGTTTATCAAAAGGAAAAAATATAAACAATGCAATTTCCTTATCATAATGAACAACAATTAAGAGCAGCCGGAGATGGAATTTCCTAAACTTGTTGTTGATGAAGCTAAATGGTCTGATGGTCTAAATGAAGTGGAGAAAGGTGGAGAGGCTAAAATCTATACCACATAAGTATAATTTCATAGTCCCCTAGCCATTTTTTGCAACTACACATATCAGCACGCCATTCATCTTATTCAGGTCATTGTAGTTGAAGTCATATATCAGAAAAGTGATTGATAAAGACCAACGTGTAGGCATAAGTAAAAAAAGCATGTCATACCATTGGATATCATGGAGTTGTATATTCCAACTCGTTTGATATTCTCCCTGTGGAGTTCATCAGTGTTAGGGCTAAAATTTAACATAATCAGTAGTGATAAATTGGTGCTCATGAAGAACCTCATCAAAGCAAAACATAGAGATATTAGATGAGATATATTGGAGGGAGAGTACACAAAATCAATGTTGTTAAAAATGTATATGATTCAGAATGAAACAAAGGCAAAACGATTCAAATCACATTTTGAATCGCAAATTTCGTGTTTCGTACTTTTCAAATGATAGAACCCTAAAAAGCTAAACGGAACGAAACGATGGATTAAAAAAGAAAAGAATAGGCCTTTTTTACTCACATAGTAGTGCCATCAATAGCGTGAGAAGCAGTAGAAAAGACGAAGAAATAATAAGAAGAAACAATAGGAGAAGAAGAAGAAAGAAGAAGTGGCTGAAGAAGAAGAAGAAAGAAGAAAGAAATTTGGGCGTGGGATGGGATTTGACCGTGCCGGTTGGTGGCGGGTCGCTAGAGACAAAAGAAGGAGGGGGTAGGTGGCTACCAAGAGAGGAGGAAGAAGAAGAATATTGGAGAGGCTACGGTTTTGATTTAATTTTGTTTTCCCTTCTTTTAGTTTTTCTTTTCTTTTATTTAACCAAAGAAACAAACATAAAAATAAACAAAAAAAAAATAGGCTAATGTTCAAACAATGAAGAGGAATAGATTTTTCATAATATTTCCCTAAAATTAAAAATTTGAAACATTCTGTCGTTTCCCGCCAAAAACGCGTCTTACTCTTTTGTGAAGTTTTTTAAACGTCAAGAAAAACACTTGTTTTGCCAAACTTTTCGTGACGTTTAAAAAACGTCACAAAAAGGTCAAAATTCCAGAAATCTCCGTTTTTCCAGCCCAAAAACGCATTTTTTTCTTTTCGTGACGTTTTTTTTATTTGAACAGTATTTTATTGTTCATGTGCGTCACGAAAACCCAAAATTCTAGTAGTGACTCTTCTTCGTGTAATCCCAATGAGACAACACCACTTGATATGTCTGTCGGTCAAGAATCCAGATTTTGGGATCCAATTGTAAGGGATTGAGAGAGTAAGAAAGTTAGAGAGATTTTTTAAACCTTTTGCATACTTTAGGTTTCAGCTTACGGTTATATTTATAGAGAAGGAAAATTGTACGACGATTAGGATATTATCCTTTTGCATCAGGATATCTTATTCTTTTTAAACAAATTAATTAAATCAATTAACAATTAATATATTTAATTAAAACTATTGCATCTCTCTCTAGTATAACCTATAATTTTAATATGAATCCAATTCAAATATTTCTCCCATAACATATAGTTTAATTATTGAATCTTTATTAAAAAATACACTATATATATAATGTATCATGATATACATTATATACCTTCCCTGATATATAATTTGAACATTTCAAATTCTCTCAAAATCTTGATCCTTGTTTTACCCGTTGTGAACTAGCAAGGGGATCCAATGGACGTACAGATCAGAAGCTCCAATGATAAGAGGTTAATTGATTAAACTCATTAACCAAATTAACCAACATTCGTTAACTGCAGGTCACTTCTACTAAAGACCCGCAACTGGACTCTTCTCACTGCAAAATATTTTCGTGTCCACGAACGTACGGCAATTAACGGCAGGTCAATCCTTCACGAGTGCTTGTAACTCTAGTTGGGTTAAATTACCGTTTTACCCCTGAGTTACATCTTGCTCCTTAGATACTACTACTCCTCTAATTAACAACACGATTATGGTCTGACCAATAACCAGAAGTCCCTCTCGGGCCAGTGAGAGAGTGGGGCCCCTTGTTCAAATCCGAAAGTCAACATGTAAAGGAACACTCATCTACTTCCCTAAAGTCGAGAATGAGTGAATTCCATCTTGCATAGTTATATTCTCAGCTCCAATCCCCACTCAATCTTGTCCCCAAAATGGTAAGATTATTGAGTCGGCAATTCGGGCCACTCTCACCTATACTAATCAAAGGACGATCCCTTATAGGCAAGAGTCCATAACTCGCTCAAGATTAAGATCGAGTTACATAGTTATCCTATGAGATAACAATCTATTGATTAACGGTGTTAGAGCTAATGATTAATTATTTCGTAGTCCGGTCTTATACAAACTCATTGTGTAGGATACCTTCATTTGCATGTCTCTACATGAACGACCTGGATAAAGTTATTTATAACTATTACAAAGCGGACCATATCCATAGTGTTACCAGAACAATGTATCCAACCTTATCCATATACTATAGACCATTTAGGTTATTACTGGAACATTATCCACTTGTATATCAAATATATATTGTACATATACTATATAGAAAAAAATTACACTGTATATTAAAGATATATTGTATATCAAATATATACATTGTATATTAAATATATACTATATATCAAATATATACATTGTATATTAAATATATACTATATATCAATTATATACATTGTATATTAAATATATACTATATATCAAATATATACATTGTATATTAAATATATATTGTTCCAGTTACATTAAATAACCTTGGATCTTAGTTTATTGGAATACGAGTAATGCAAAGAAATAATAAGATAACTCTTTATTGAACAAATAATTTGTTCATAAATTACAAATACACGAGCTAAGGGCACCAAACCCAACATAAACATGTGTTGGTTTTTACTTGGGTGACTCGAGTGTCACCCTCACCGAGAGTGATGGGGAGCTCAATGCACCCTTAAGGAGTAACACTTTCTCCATAAAAGTCGACCAGTTGTGTCAGACTTTTCTTCAACTAAGCTCGATCCCATCCAAAAGTTGTGTAGGCCGTAAGAGACTGACTATTAGTAGAGGTGCCATCGTCCATCGGGATATGTTGTAGTGACGTGATCTATCTGTGAGGCTATGACAAACGCGTCATTGTGTGGCAGGTGGAACCCTGGAGGCAGTATTTGTAAAAGTGATGAGGCAGAATTCTGGCTTGGCCTACAATGAGCAAATCTCATGTCGAGCTTCTCGAGCTAGCTCCTTGCACTTGTGGGCAGATTGGCCCTCGCTAGGTCCTCCATGGATGGTATTGATCACTGGAGGTCAGTCATTGCGCTTTGGAGGAGTCGTGGACCTCTCTCCTTTTTCATCTTTCTTGCCACCAGCTTCTTTCAAGCTGCCATCTCGGTTCTTCTTGCAGACATACGTTTTTAAGTAGCCTTTTCGAATCAGGCCTTCAACTTGTTGCTTCATGTCATAACAGTTCGAGGTGTAATGGTTGTGATCCATATGAAAATGGTAGTATTTTGACCTATCACGTTGGTTAGGGTCCTGACGCATCGGGTTTAGGTCTCTCAGCAGGTCGAGCCTAGCATATTGTATGTATTCTAGGATCTCGAAGATCTAGACGTTCAGATGACTAAACGTATTGTATCCCTGAGGTTTTTCTGACCATTGGTCGTTACATCGGTCATAATCCGGTCGTTGAGAAGAGCCTGACTTATTATCTTTCTTCTCCTTATCCTTGTCCTTAAACTTGGATGGAGAGCTATGCTTGAAATACTTGTCGTCCTTGGACAACATGATTTCCTCAGCCTCGATGAACTTGGTAGCTCGGTCAAGGTAACCTCTTAGAGTAGGCTTAGGTATCTTTGTAGAGTACGCTCGAGTATCTTCGCAAGTGGCCAGCTCAGCTTCTCGTGGGTCACTCCATTGTAGAATGCGGTTTTTGCAAGCAGGTTGGTAACACCTTAATTTACTTGGCTAAAAACCTCTTAACGTAATGAATGGGTTCCTACGGTTTCTGACAAATGAATAAGAGGTAGGTGTGCAAATGCTCGGCATCCATATGGGTTGCGAATTGAGATATGAACGCCTTTCATAGCTACTTCCAGGTCGAGATGGAATAGGCATGAGCAGCCTAAACCACTTATGGGCAGTTCCTTGTAAGGTGGTAGAGAAGGCCCTGTATTACAAAGTGCAAGAGTACGTGTGGAAGTCCATGATAGACTTAAAGTCCGCATGGTCAACTGGGTCAGTAGTGTCATCATACTTGTCGAAGGTTGGCAAACAGCTTTTTTTCGGAAGTGGTAAACCAAAACTGGCATGAATGAAGGATGATTATTCTGGCACGTCACCATTGAAAGTCAGCTTGCTTGCCATTTTCAAATCGCCCTTGAGGACCAGATCTCTCTTCAGTAAGTTGAACTGCATTTGTAGGCCAAGGTTGCTCGTTGACTCCTTTTGTCCCGACTTCTCGAGCTCTTCTCTTCTATGAGCTCTATTACAGATGATCGAGTCTCTCAAACCACTTCATCTTCCTTATCGGAAGGTCGAGTGGAGAGTATGGACCAGAGATTGTTGTTTTGTCTAGGTCGATGGTTGTCGCCTAGGACAAGCTTATTGACTTCGTGGGCTGGTTTATTCTTGGGGTGGTCGTCCACTTTTTTCTTGCCTTACTTGGGATAATGATGGATCTCGAGTTTAGGCAGCTCAATGAGGGTGATAACTCTCCAAAAGAGAGTTATTTGTGTAAGATTTTCATATAAATTAGCTAAAGATAGTCTCACTAACACGTAATTTACACTGAGTTTATGCAAAGAATGTTACAATTTCATTATACTCCTTATTTTTGCTGACAATGCTGAAAGATAGAAAAATGACGCATTGTTGATGCTACAGCATCAGAGCCAAAGGAGTAGAAAACCACAAATCTGACAGTGGCAGAATTTTAACCTGGGAGTTACCACAATAACTCGGAGAATCACTTGGAAGTGAGAGCTGGGGGCCCACTTTATTTGTTTGTTGCCATTAAAGTCATGGGGGTATAAATACTTACATTTAAGGTTGCCTCCACACATTCCCCAACCCATCACCTCACTTTCACTTTAAGAAAGCTCTCAAGGTTTTTTAAGAAGACGAACAAGAAAAGGAGATTTGCTGAAGCTTCTGAAGGTAGAGGACTCACTCGGAGCTGACCTTCCTCAGATCCTTCGTGCCCATCTTTTTAGGACTAGACAAAGCTCCACTCTCCCCATAAGGTCTCATTAGCCTGGTTCTTCTCTTTTTCAATTCATTCAGTATTGAACTTCTTTCGTTGTTTTTCTGAATTTTCTTTATGTCCGTGCATAGCTAAGCTTTAATTGTAAAGGGGAGGATTTTGTGAACTTCTTTATTGGGCTGGAAATTGTATTTTTGTTATTAATGATGAAATATATTGAGTTAAAGTTGCTTTCTTTGTTCATTTTCAATGTGCTTGATCAACATATTGAGATATCTCTGTATTAAATATTGGGAAATTGTGATAGAGAGTGTTTGGCTTCAACTCGTGCTAGATCTACTTGGGTTTATAGTTTGGATACTTAGGAATAAGGTTCAACTAGTAAGGCTATAAATTGAATTGATATGCTGTCAAGTTAGTCTCAAAACGTGAATAGCAGAAAATCTGGGAAGTGTTGGAAGATTCCATGTCTGTTTGGCCAGTATATTATCATCGTTAATGTTGTAGAATTGTTCACGCAAGCCAAGAAAAAGTGACATGAACTCTTCCCCGTATCCTTTTAAATATTAGTAGTTGTACTTGCACGCT